CTTTGTGGTACAGTATAACTTCAAGCCTGGGATTGTGATACTGCCTGCCTTGCTCTTGCTGCCCAGCATTGCTTTCTGAATCTCTTCTGGTTCCATATGAAGTTTAGGATTATTTTCTCCAGTTCTGTATAGAATGTTGTTGGTATTTTGATTGAGATTACATCAAATCTCTATCAATTTTGGAAGTATGGTGATTTTTACTATAATGGTTCTGCCTATCCAGGAATAGAGGATATGTTTCTATTTTCTGATGTACTCTTTGATTTCCTTTTTCAATATACTCATTTGCAGTTTTCATGGGTCTTTCACTTCCTCAGGTTAATTTTTTTCCAATTATTTACTTATTTCGGTTTTTTGAGAAAAGGTCTTGCTATGTAGCTCATGCTGGCCTCAAACTCATGGCAATCCTCTTGCCTCAGCCTCCCGACTGCTGGGATTATAGGTATGCACCACCATGCCTGGTTAATTAACTGATTTAGGATCTTTTTGATGATTCATTACATTCAGTATCTTGTTGAGGATTTTTGAGTCTGTATTTATTAAAGAGATTGAGCTACAGTTCTGTTTTTTGATTGAATCCTTGTCTGATTTTAGAATCAGGGTAATGCTTGCTTTCAGGAATGACTTTGGGAATATTTTTTCCCTTTAGATTTTATTAAAGAGCTTGAAGAGTATTGGTGTTACATCCTCCCTGAAGTTTTTGTAGAATTCAGTAGTGAATTCATCAGGATTTGGTTTTTCTTAGTTGGTGGGATTTTTAAATTACTACTTCAGTTCCATTGCTTGCTATTGGATTATTCAAAGTTTTAAAAATCTTCTTGGTTCAGTGTTTTGTTCGTTTTTGTTTGTTTGGGTTTTTTTTTTGTTTGTTTTATTTGTTTGTTTGCAGTACTGGGTATTTAACTCAGGACCTTGCATTTTCAAGGTAGGCGCTGTACCACAGAGCTAACTCCCTGACCCTTCTTTTTTTTTTTAATTGAGTTTATTGGTACAATCTAGGTATACAATACAGTTACATTCATCATTGGGATTCTGTACCTTTATATAGTAGGTCTTGATTCTCATTTTTTCCCCTTGTCCCTGCCCTCCCTTCACCCCCTCTTCCCCTCCCCATTTACAAACACTTTATTTCCATTTTTTCAGTTTCTCATATTTTTTTCCTCTCCCTTATTACCTTTCCCCCACCCTTCCCACTTTCCCTACACCTTTAGCCCTTTACTTCCTATTTCACATTATTAATGATCTCATTAGGATCCTGTGTACTATTATAGTTTTTCACACCAAAGAAACTATTCGGTATTTCAGTTAAAGAAATCTCTGTAGGAACATTAAAAATAGGGAATCCTAAAAAGAGAAAAGGATGATGTAACATTAAAATAATCCTTAATTCTGTGGATGAAAATGGTCCCCAAACATATTTAAATTGCTTCTTGCTTTTATAGTCTTATGTTATTCTTTTCTTCATTATTTAGAGAATACTTTATTAGTTTCTGTAATCAAACCCACGTAGATATGACCTTACATATTCAATACAGTGTGTTACCCCTGTACACATGGACAAAAAATAAAAAATAAAAATAAAAATAAATTAACATTTCTAGACCAATATGGCTGCCCATTTCTGCACAATGCCAACTCAACACAGTAAATTGGGATGACTTTTTCCAAAGTTGGCAGCACCGTTAAAGTTTCCCAAAATTCAATTTATATCTATATATATCTATATATCTATATCTATATC